GACCCAAAGATGAATAGACAAAGTAACTGTATCAAGACAAAAAGATCACTAATCCCATCGGACTTATCACTTGTCCAGTTAACTTGTTTTTTGTTAAATGTTTTGCTCTTTTTTGTCAATAAAAATGTTGATCTATGAAAAATGTATCAACATCATTGAGATTCTCTGTGTTTATCCATGTTGGAAGGTGGATGATCAATTGGATGATTCTTCTTCTAGAGGAGGAAGAAAAGTGATGAGAATGAAGATGAAGATGATAACAAGAAAAGAGCTGAAGCCTCTTCACATTTCATTGAAGAGAAACACTGAGAATGATTATTATTATGATGGTTATAATCAAGTTAACGAAACAATTTTTTTCCTGGTTGATACCTAATTGAATTTGATATTATTCAGTTTCCAGTTATATTCAGTTCATATTCATTTCCATCATCTCTCATTCTTGTTACCCTCAGGAAAACTGGTTACATCCAGAATGAAGATGAGGCAAAAAAAGAGTATAAAGTTAAGATGATGAAAATGAAGCAAAACTGATGAAGATAAAAAACATTTTCTCCTTTCGTTCACATGAGTCATGATGAATTTCATGGAATTTCATCTTTTATCCTATAAAAGTTCCGAGATCTGATGCTCTGATTTCTATGGATGGAGCCCTGAGGCTCCACCAATAGTTACCTTTTGTTACTCAACGGACTTTCGGACATGAAAATGCTCATCTATTCATCTACTTTTCAATAATATTACGAACAATTTATTCAATAGTTTCATGTAAAAGATTGAACTTCTTTTGTTTCATTTATCATGTTTGATCATTTCCACCAAACCAAACAAAGTAACAATAATCAAAGCTCCAAGATCATTTCACTGAGCCTCGATTCATTTAAATCTTATTTAGTTTTGATTAAGTGACACAAACTCCTTCGAGTATCACAAAATTATGATATATTTTTATTAACTGAAACTCTAGTCCCATGAGATAAATTGATAACATTTTATCATATTAATCATATTCATAGATATTAATGTAAACAATGATAACCGAAACATTGTTGCTCATTATTATGTCAATGATAACTTGATAATATTTTGATTACCATTGATCATAATTGATTATATAGGTAAAATTTAATGACAATTGCTCTTGGATATTATTTGCAATTTGTTTTTTCAATTGTCGTTCAGTTGATGAAAAGTTGAGACTCTCGATAAAAGTTCAATGTGATCAATGATTGAACAATTTTCTATTGAATCTCATCGATGACCGATACTAAATAATTGACACTTTGTCTTAGAATTTGATTAACTCAAATTATCAATATTTTTCTTCTCTTGAGATTCAAATTGATTAGATATTGACAATTATGATTTAACTATTATGACTAAAATAAACGAAACAAAAAACGATTCAAGTAATGAATAAATATAATCAACGACAATCACTGATTCCAAGACTGTTGACATTTTACCGTTTGTTTACCTGAGGAGCGAAACAAATTAAGATTAATTCAAGTGTATTTGTAATAATAACTTGATTATTTACATCTACCAATTGAATTGAGTTTCTTGTTGAAACATATTATTACCTCTATAATGATCAGCAATCAATTGTTAACTGAACACAAGATAAACAATCAATCAGAAATCAACTGAACAGAAACAAAAGAGTTTTTCTCAAGTTATGATGATCCTATAAGATGAAGATGAAAATGAAGATGAAGATGCAAAAGATGAAAAAAATCTGATTTATATTTGAGAAATGTGAAAATTGGTTAGACGGAAAATGAATTTCGTAAATTTGAATTTAACGGATTAGAATTCAGTTGAAGTTACTGTTGATTTATCAATGAAAACATGATATGAATCTCTAAACAACTAGGTAATCATGATTTTCGGTGATCATCATGATAGAAAAGTCAACACACAATTGATGGTGTGTGATGATTGATGCGTTAAAAAATGAACCAAATAGATACCAAAGGTTTTCATCTTAAATAACTGTAAATAAAATCAGATGCTTTTCGCTTCAGGCAACTTATTCCCAAGTGTTCATCATTGATGGTGTTTGTTGATCAAAAAAGTAAATGGATGAGGATGATAATGATAATGCAAAGAGATAAAGTTTATCCAGTTTTCTATGTGGTTACAGTTAATCCAATTATAGGTACAGGGAGTAAAAGTAATAATAAAAAGATTCCTTATGTTGACATAAATCTCATCATCACCTCCATCCTCATCCTCATCCTCATCCTCATCCGTATCCTCATCTCCATCTTCAATTTCATCCTCATCTCCATCATTTTCTTCAAGGAGGAAAACATATACACAGAAGATGTAAACAGGCCTTTCTTTTTGTCTAAACATTGTTGTTATCAAAAGAGCAACTGAAAAGAAACTTGAAATGATTATTTATCATTCTAATTGTGAATCACAATTGGATAATATTATGAATCAAATTAACTAACATTTTATTTTCGTTTTGTTATCATTACATAGAAACTGCACCAGGAATCAAGCCAAGGATTTTTCATCTTCGTTGATTAACTTTGATTGGCATTTAACTAATGCAACTAATTGTTTGCCAGTTTTTTGTTTTTGTTTTCATAACAATTAACTAATCTTATTGGAGTTTACTGATGAAATTCAAATTATTGAGATTTTGACAGTTTCAATCTAGTTAAATGTATTAATATATTCTGATTTAATTAATACAAACATTACACATGTATTTAGTTTCTTATACTTTAAATCAATGTAAATAAATAATCAACTATTTAAATGATGTTAAACTTTTTTATCAAATTGCAAATCAACAAATTAGATTGTGTTTTTATTATGATTAACTTGTTTAACTGGATGTAAAGAGATTTGTATTAACATGTTTAAGATTAAACAATAACCTTGAATATTTACGACGAATCGATGATTAGTGTTAATTTTGAGGTCAAACCGAAAGAGACGCGTGTGTGAGAGGTGACAATGGATTTTCATGGAACATAATTTTCAGTTAAATTGACCGTTAGATTTGATTGACAGATGATAAGTAAACTGAAAATCTCTATCAAGGGACTTGACGAGAGAGAGAGAGAGAGAGAGAGAGAGAGAGAGAGAGAGAGATATTTAGGGATGAAGAAGAAGATGCAAAAAACAGTAAACAATATCCATCGAATTTGTTGTTGGATGATTTCGAAACACAAAAGACCTCCTGAGAGATGGTGATGATTATGATAATGATGCAGATTAAAGATGAAGATGAGACTGGATTAAAGGTTAAACTTATTCTCCACTAAAATTAATAATCATATTGTTTGACATTAATCCAATCCAGTTAAACTTTTTAATCTTCACACTCATCAGCTAATCTGATATTCTTCTTATCTTTCGTTTTACTCTTTTTCTTAACAATTTTGATTGATTTTCATATTTTCTTCGTTTTTTTCCTACAAAATGATTTCTTCTTTTGTTTTCATGTTACTGTTTTAAATAAACAAAAAACGATTGACCCAAAGATGAATAGACAAAGTAACTGTATCAAGACAAAAAGATCACTAATCCCATCGGACTTATCACTTGTCCAGTTAACTTGTTTTTTGTTAAATGTTTTGCTCTTTTTTGTCAATAAAAATGTTGATCTATGAAAAATGTATCAACATCATTGAGATTCTCTGTGTTTATCCATGTTGGAAGGTGGATGATCAATTGGATGATTCTTCTTCTAGAGGAGGAAGAAAAGTGATGAGAATGAAGATGAAGATGATAACAAGAAAAGAGCTGAAGCCTCTTCACATTTCATTGAAGAGAAACACTGAGAATGATTATTATTATGATGGTTATAATCAAGTTAACGAAACAATTTTTTTCCTGGTTGATACCTAATTGAATTTGATATTATTCAGTTTCCAGTTATATTCAGTTCATATTCATTTCCATCATCTCTCATTCTTGTTACCCTCAGGAAAACTGGTTACATCCAGAATGAAGATGAGGCAAAAAAAGAGTATAAAGTTAAGATGATGAAAATGAAGCAAAACTGATGAAGATAAAAACATTTTCCTTTCGTTCACATGAGTCATGATGAATTTCATGGAATTTCATCTTTATCCTATAAAAGTTCCGAGATCTGATGCTCTGATTTCTATGGATGGAGCCCTGAGGCTCCACCATAGCCTTTTGTTACTCAACGGACTTTCGGACATGAAAATGCTCATCTATTCATCTACTTTTCAATAATATTACGAACAATTTATTCAATAGTTTCATGTAAAAGATTGAACTTCTTTTGTTTCATTTATCATGTTTGATCATTTCCACCAAACCAAACAAAGTAACAATAATCAAAGCTCCAAGATCATTTCACTGAGCCTCGATTCATTTAAATCTTATTTAGTTTTGATTATGACACAAACCCTTCGAGTATCACAAAATTATGATATATTTTTATTAACTGAAACTCTAGTCCCATGAGATAAATTGATAACATTTTATCATATTAATCATATTCATAGATATTAATGTAAACAATGATAACCGAAACATTGTTGCTCATTATTATGTCAATGATAACTTGATAATATTTTGATTACCATTGATCATAATTGATTATATAGGTAAAATTTAATGACAATTGCTCTTGGATATTATTTGCAATTTGTTTTTTCAATTGTCGTTCAGTTGATGAAAAGTTGAGACTCTCGATAAAAGTTCAATGTGATCAATGATTGAACAATTTTCTATTGAATCTCATCGATGACCGATACTAAATAATTGACACTTTGTCTTAGAATTTGATTAACTCAAATTATCAATATTTTTTTTCTTCTCTTCACCATTGTATCTTTTACTCCTACTCATCTTCACCTCCCTCAATGTGAGGCTCCTCCTTGGCCTATAATGTCATCATGATGATCTTTTCACCAATAATCATATCAAATAGAATCGATTTGAGCTCATTCATTGTTATTTGTATTCGTTTTCAATGAAATTAGAGAGACATTTGATTTCGCATTCATTTTCTTTATTCATTTTGTTTATATTGCAAATTTGTATTGCGCTAATAAATTAATTATGATTAAGATGAGATTTCATGATTTTACTTGAGAGTTTAAGTTTCTCATGATAGATTTTTGATATTTGATGTTTTTATTGTTTCCAATGTAAGTTGTTGTATCTCAAAAAGTTCAGTGTCATTTGAATTTACTATGATTTGTAAGATTGAAAGAGTTGATCAATTAAATTGAATACATAAGATTAATTACTACAAATTTACGAGTTAGAACATTTTCCCTCCCTGAGGGCAGTCGATGGCGGACTTGATCGCCAACCATTGGTTTCTAATGAGGTCAAATCAATGGCGGTTTTTGATGATACATCATTTAAACGAGATCCTAATGATTCTTTAAATATCCGATTTGGACTAACGGGTCTTCGAAGTAGAGAAGCCGCCGCTGCAGCGACTGCAGCAGCCGAGGGTTGAGGACACTGAGTACATCCTGGAGGACAAGGTGACATCAATCCAGGAACTGATGGAATTGTAAAGGGATGATGAGAGCCAAGAAGAAAATGATAAGCATGTGAATTACTTGCAAGTGTTGAACAATTGGAAGATGAATTATTCTGATTTCCAGATCCGTTGTTTACTCCTGGAGGACACAAAAAGTCTCGATTGTAGATACTATTTATAAGCGCTGAACCGATCGGTCGACCCGGACAAAGAGCTGCACTGCTCAGTAATGAGCCGTTGCCGTTTCCCGACTCAACGCTTGAACTAATGGCAGAACCAAGGTAACCATTGGGATGAATGAAATTCAAACTTGTGTGAATCGGTGTGAAAGCTGATTTAATTTGACCATTTAACAGAGAAGATGGAACATTAGAGTTGGAAACACTTAGCGAGTCTCCATTTGTCCCATTTCCGGTTATCATCGCAGCAGCAGCTGCTGCGACTGCCGCTCGGTGCTTATAAGCCTCTGAAGAGATTAACTGAGCTGATCTGTTGCCTGTGTGGAGCATCATTGCATCATTAAGGGAAATGAAATGTTCGATTGCTTTCGAAACATCACCATTACAACCCTGTAGAACTAACTCAAGAATGGTACGTTTCTGTTCGGGAAAAAGTCGACTCAACATTTCGATTGCAGTGAATCGACCAGGACGAAAATCGTTGGGACAATTTTGTGACAGTTGATTGAGATAATCAACATCTTTACCGGGATCAATAGATGAAACGGAAGAAGTTGATGACGTAGAGGATGAGGATGATCCAGAAGACGCTGTCGAAGATGACATCATCCCATTACTTGAAGCTATTGTTGTAATGGGAGCTGTTAATGAGCTGCGTTTAGCTGATTTAGAGCTTAGATCACGACAGTTACCTGAATGGGGATTGAGAGATGCAGATAAATGGAATGATGAGGATGAAGATGAAGATAAAGATAAAGATAAGGATGATGCAGATGACAAAGAGACCATTGTGGGTGTGGTTGTTGATGCTAAAGATGAAGCCAACGAATTGGCTGCTGATGTTACTAATGAAGCCGACGAAACAATTGTCGGTGTTATTGTTGGTGTCGAGTTAATTGTACAATTGTCCTTGTGATCTTCAGATGAGGACCCGATATCTAAACGTATCAAATCAGATTTCGAATCGTAATAATCACGAGATGAGATTGATTGATTTCCATTAGTCGTCTTATCAGACTGATTAAACTCTAAATGATCAAGTGAAAGTTGAAAAAAAGACAAATCAAGTTAATCAGTCAATTAAATGAGTTTAAAAAGTATTTATGAAACACAAGTCAATCAACAATTAACATCCATTAAATTTAATAATCTTCTAAAATTAATATTCATCATAATAAAATTGGATACATGAACAATTAAATTAATTAACTGACGCGCCTTCAAACCATTTCACATTAATAGTAATTAATTGCGATTTCAATGAAAAGTGAATGTAAACAAATTAAATTGCATAATCAACACAAAACTGTAATCATTTAATTGTTAACAACCTTCCGGCTAATTGGATGAACATACAAGTGAAAAGATTATGAAAAAAAGTCAGTTAATTGTAATAAGATAATGATGATGATTATGGTCAGTTGTTGAGATTATTTGATTTAGTTAATCAATGAACAATTTAATCAATTTTGAGCTTATTATCCGAATGAAAAGAAAATAAAGAAAACAAAGAAAACAAAGAACAAGGTAAACTTGATTCGCAATTAATTACAATTATAAGATCAGGTTAATGATTAACAATTTGTGAATTACAACTGATTAACTTTCACTAATCAACTAGCAAAGTTTTCACTCAATATTGAAACAAGGTGATAAAAAGAAACAAAAACAATGGCAAGAAATGAGATGATGATTAAATCGCGATTGAAGTGATCAATTAAGGAAAAAAAGATTAACTTAATTATGAGGTCAAAACGAAATTAAATCAATAATTGATACACTTTCAATCTTCATGGAACAGGTAAGACAAGGTAATGTTTCTTTTCGTCTTAATAAGATTTTCTTCTTTTTTTAATTCTCATTGATTTAACTTGTTGATTTTTTAATTTTTCTTATTGTTTTTTAATCATTTTCATGTTTGTATTTTCATTTCTGATCTGCTACTTAATTTTAATTTGATTAAAAAGCTTCTAGCATTTGATAGACTCGAAATAATCAACTTATTAACTTTCGAATCAGTTTAAATTAAATCTTCCCACTCAAACAGGTAATCATCATTAACTTTGTTACGATACTTTTTTGTTGTTTCGACAGTTTTAATTGTTGCTCTTGGACTGAATTGAGTTAATCGCAGTTAATCAAGTGGTAATATTAATAACCGGTTATCGTGATAAAATTAAATTGTTTGTTTACATTCAATTTACCGTCAATTAAGAAAAACATGGGTCAAGATGAAGGGAATTTCGTTCTGATCGTTTCTCTTAACTAATATCTTATATTCTGATGGATTAAATTAGTTAATTCAACTGTATCAAAAGAAATGATAACTAATTTTCTTGATTAGAATAATTATCAATAAACTATTGCAATAAGAACGATCTTAGCCTGACAACTTTTTCAACAATTAGCAAATTCAAGCAAAGTTTCAATCGTTATGAATTTAGTATTAAAAATGATCAATTTTTACCTTTCATTTGTTGATCTGAATTATTGTCCATTGGGCTGTTGTTTTGAAAAGTTTGACTTGTTTCCGAATCATTTGAAGCATCTTTCATGATCTCGTCATGATTAACTCGCCTTTCGCATTTTGAATGACATGACAACCAGTTTCTCCCAACATATGATTTGGATTCACTTTCTGGTTTGTTTTTGGTTCTTCACTAATCATTTCTCCTCATTAATTGTTGGTTAATTCATTAGAAAAATTCGTTAGAAATAATTTAATCAGAGTTCATCTTTCAACCTGACAATGAATATTATGGAAAATAGAACTGACCTGATCTCCATCAAAGGTAAAAACGGATTCGTTTTCTTGTTTATTTGCATTTCAATCAATTGATTTTTTGTTTTCATCTTTCTAATCCTTGTGTTTGACTTTTTGTTTTGACCATAGTGAACCGAGTTATCAATCGCGATGTGAGAACAGATCATTTCATGAGGCCAGATGAATTCGAAAGACTTTTATTACTAGAAGATGATTTTGAAAGCGAATGTATTGGAAAACAATTTGTCGATAAATGGAGACGATTACCCAAGAACTTATCACAAATTTATCTCGGTGAAACATTTTGTTTCTCAGTCATGGCGATAAATGATTCAGTCGCTGAGCCGGTTAAGGATGTCAATGTTAAAATCGATCTGCAATTTGCCAACGATCGAATGATTAACATCGGGCTATTGCAAAGTCCAATTTTAGACGGGAAACAATCGATTGATGAGATAAAAAGTTACGAAATCAAGGATTTGGGTTCTCATGTGTGAGTTGATAATCGGCCGATTTTAGTGGCTTTGATTAATCAATTTAATCGCTTGTTATCCTTAGGTTGATCTTTTCCATTTCTTATCAAACTGATGGGCAGGAAATTCATTCGTTTAGAAAGTATTTCAAATTCCAGGTTGAGAAACCATTAGATGTGAAAACCAAATTCTACAATGCAGAGGTGATTAATTGTTCTAATCATTGGATGACAGTTGATTGTTTCAATCAAATCTCTTTCTCTCTTTCTTTCTTCTCATTTAGAGTGATGAGGTTTATTTGGAAGCGATTCTACAGAACCAAACAATTTTACCGATTTGCTTGGAACGAGTCACTTTAGAACCTTCTCAATATTTCAATGTGAAAGAAATGAACAAAGTGATTGTCGATGGGGAAGAGCAATGGGTCTTTGGGAAGGTCAATCGGTTCAATCCTATGGAGAGCCGACAATATTTATTCTGCTTAACACCGAAACCCGAAGTCAAATCGGACCTAAAACTTTTGAGATCAGTTACAGTGATCGGCAAATTAGACATCGTTTGGACTTCTGGGATCGCTGTTCCAGGTCATCTTCAGACATCACCTCTTGAGCGAATGGTTCGTCGTCCAGAGCTAATAATTGTTTCTTCTTCATATTGATCACAATTAACTTGTTCTTTCTTAATTTAGGCCCCGAACTTTGTCGACATTCGGTTAACCATTGAAGAAATTCCTAGTCAAATTGAATTACGACATAAATTCAATATAACATTTAGAATCACAAATTATTGGTAAATTGTAATTATTGATCAAATTTCCACAAATTGATTCATTTTTTGTCTTTTTCAGTGATGTCGACATCGAACCTGCTCTTTTATTTGATAACAAGGATGATAAACAAGCGATTCTATGGTTGGGCGTCTCTGGACAATTGCTCGATAGAATTTCACCTTTTCAATGCTACGATTTTACTCTAACTGCTTATCCAATTGACACTGGTCTTCAGGCGATTCCAAAAGTAAAGATCAACGATATTCTCTCAAAAAACATCTACGAGTTTGAAGATATGGCTTATGTTTTTGTCAATGATCCCCAATTGTAAAAGTGGTTCTTAACCTCCATTTTTCATAAATTAGTTTTGATAAAATTAACGATTGTTTTTATGTTTCATTTTCGTTATTTATTTTAAGATGAGTTTACCTAACATTCCGTTTTAAACATATTGAAATGAATATTTTGATGGAATTTGTCATTAACTAAATGGAAAAGTATGTCCAGGGCAAAATCAGATCTCTACAGTCGAAAATGAAGTGACGAAGAAATTTAGATAAGAAATGGATGATAAAAAGGAGAAAACATGCAATGTATAAATAAAAAGGAAGATGAAAAAGAAATGAATATGAAAGATTGAGAGAAAAAAAGAGAGCAAAAAGTGGTTGGGAATGGCGATCGCCGATGTGACCAATGATCATCCCCGAATAAATTGTTAGGATGAGATTTCTACCTTCCATGGATCCTTTTCAGGGCAATTGATATAATGAGATTAAACTTCCCTGGTGTGGTTAAAAAAGTTCTTTCAACAAAGAACAAAGTCAATAAATGTAAGACGAATCACGAAAGTTCGAAGGTAGATTGTGTATCCATCGGGCTCACGTCAAAGCTGCCCGGGGGAATTGGAAAGGTTGATGATGAACCTGCTAAAAAGCGATAAGTTTGATCTTGCATCGAAACCAGTGCATTGAGAAAAGCCTTTTCGCGACGTTCTTGACGTTCGTTATCTTCTTTGCGACGAGCTGCTTCTTGATGGAAACGTTCTTTTTCTAATCTAATCCAGTCCCTCATGATATCCATCTCTTTGGTTAAATGCACAAACATGCGGTCGATGAGAATAACTGCTTGTGATGAATCGTATTCTGAGCTATAATCCTGAGCTTGATATCCACTGTATGTAGCATTAGATCCTGATCGAGATCTAAGAGCTGGTTGTCCCATATCTGGAATGAAAGAGAGAAATCAAAATATTACCAAGTTGTATAAAATTTAACAATCAAGACAAATCATATACGAAAAGAAATAATTACCATCAGTTTCATCTGAAGAAGATGAACAATAACCAGCCAATGATGGAAGCATGTTGATAAAACAAAACAAAATGGAAAATTAAACATTAATTGATCTTTGAATATTTGGTAAGTGGCTTTTAGTATTCGACAATTAAGAAATTCGATAAGGCAAAAGGATACTAACATTGATCACCATCAACCTGCCCATAAGCTCCTTCATTTCCATTCAAAGTTTGTGAGGGAGACATTGCATACGAGAAAACTTCTTCATTGTCAGTACCACTATTTTCACCATCCCCATTGGCTCCCATTCCACTGTCATTAGTTTCATCCGCCATATTGGAATCAGATGGATCGAAGTGATATTCTTCTTCATAATCATTTAATGCTGCTTTCACATCTTCTGTGTCTTTGGCTTGGTAAATTTTGTCAAGAGCATCGAAAAAAACACACTTCTTTTTACGCTCTGGAGTTGGATTTTTGAGTATTCGGCGGTATTCGGCAATCATATTAAACACCTTAATTCTAACTTGATCTGCGAATATCAAAAGAGAAATAGATTTTTATGAGTAAAAACAATGATTGGTGGAGTTCAGGGGCAAAGAGGCAATGTGATTCGCTAACTAAGAATATAAGCAAGACAAACCTGGAGTTCGTTCCCAACCATGATCTCTTATTCGTTCAGCAATTTTCTCCCACACTTGGCGGGTTCTTTTGGAATTGGTGAATTGTCTTTGTACCATATCTTGTCCCCATAATGACAACAAAATACGAGTTTCATGAAGAGACCAACTCGCGCCTCTTTCTATTGATGGTTTACTGGGTTGACTGTCATTCAAATCATAATTGGATGAATGTGCTTTAGACATGGTAATCTCCTGATGATTGTTTTGATGGTAATCCTAAAAAAATGAGATGAAATGGCAACAAAATAATCACAATGTTTAAGTAGATGGTTAAAAATAAAAATGGTTGCACCAAAAGGGCATGGACCAGAGGCCGGGAAGAAATGTGGTCAACACCAATGTCACAAAAAAACCGAAAGAAATTAAATTAATACTGGTTAACCACTTGTTATTAACAAGCGAAGCACGTTGGTTGCTTTGATTGTTAATTTTCCATCTATTGAAGGTGAGACAAAGAAAAATAATCAAAAGAGAGGGAAGAGAGTTAACTCAACTGAAACAGAACAAAGAAAAGAGAGAAGAAGACGAAAGAGGGAAGAAAAGAAAGAAAAGAAAGAAAAGAGAAAAGCGAGTAGAAAAGAAAGAGAAAAAGAAAGAGGAGAGAGAAGAGTAAGAAAGAGTAAGAGAGAAAGTGAAGAATTGAATTGATCAATTAGTCATTAATTTAATAACAAAAATTAAAAATACAAACGGAAAACGTTCAAGGTTAATCAAGTTCATGGATTCTTACCTTGGCTAATCAAACACGCCTGGTGACGGTTGCTAAAGACAATTAATTAACAAATGAGCTTAATTGTAGTTAAAATAAAATAAACAGAACATCAACTCCATAGGAATTTAGTGCCATCTATTGTTCGAATTGTTTTCTTCCAATGTGAATAACAAAAGAAAGAGAAGAGAAAGAAAAGTTACTTTTCTCTCTTTTGTTGATAGAAAATCAAGATGAAAGTTGTTTTCTTTTCGCAATTTGATTGGTTGTTAAAAGAAATTGAGGTCAATTATCTTTTACATTTTCTCTTAAATGACATTAATTGGAAAACCTGAAATTCTAATTTATCCCAATGATTATTTTCTGTCTATGGCCAAGCAAATATTCCAATTCAATTCCATCTTCCTCATCTTTTCTTCTTCTTCTTCTTCTTCTCCTTCATCATTATTCTTCTCCTTCTCCTCTCTCTCTCTCTCTCTCTCTCTCTCCTTTTCTTCCTCGACTTTGTCTTCCCTAATGTTCATCTCCATTTTGGTTTTATTTCTGTTAATTATTTAACGGAAAAAGATTAACTGGAAGTAGTTCTTTCAAAATGGTCGCTCATCTATTGTTACTATTAACTGATCATTTCCATTAACAAAATGTTCCAATGAGATTCTCATTGTTTCGCAACGAGACTTGATTAACCTCTTTGTTGATGATCATTAATTTATTGATTATTTTGCTGAAACAAAGATGCGTTTGCCTCACAATTATCATCACCATTACTCTGATTTACCATTGACTTTAAATTGATTGATTAATCAATAATTGGATGAGTTTCTTTTCCAATTAACAATTAACATCCAATTGGAACCAAACAAATCTCAACATTTTCTTTTCTTTTCTTTCATTTTGTTCATTTTAATTTCGCTCATTCTGCCTTCGGGTTGATCCTTGAATTAATAATGAAAATTGTATTCAATCTTTAGTTCAATTAACTAATTGAATTAACCAACAATTAACATCAATTATCTTGAATTATAATCAATAAACTAACAAATTAAGTTATTGATTGTAAATTATGATCAATGCAGTTGAGGTGAAAAAGGTCATAATTACAATTTAATATATTGAGTATGAGAAAAAGATTATCTTAGTTAATTAGTTTCCTTGATTGATGTTGATTAAATTGTTGTGATAATCTTTTCAACTGTAGCAATTTAACCAGAATTATCTGAATCCGCGTAAACTGGTTATAAACATTGGAAGATAATTAATTGCGACAAGAAAGAGCTTAATTGGTGTAATTAAAATTAGAATCCATGTTTCCGTTGATCAATTAAATTTTCCACTAGTAAACATATGCTAGTGTGAGAGAGAAATGAGAGAATATAAAAAAGTTGTAATTTCCTTGTTAATTGTTGGTTAGTAAACACAAAAAGCAGCGAGAGAAACAATTATTCCTACAATTGCAATTGACAATTAAAAACATCATTACCAATGGATCCTAATTGTGAAACGTTGGTGTTCATGTTAACCAGAAATTGAAACTTTTAACCAAATGGAAACACTAACAATCAACTAATTGATTGTTTGTGATCATCAAATTTACTCGATTGTCCATCATGATTAATTCTAAGGAAGAATCAAACATTACCAATGGTAATTATCTCTCATGTCGGCGACTTCATCTCTCTCGAGCCAAACTCAAGGCTTCGTCTCGAACCTCAGCACTTTTGTCGGGATTCGCGATGGTCGCGATGGTCGAAGTTTCTCTCAATCCGGACTCTCGAAATCCGATTCCCGTTCCCTTGTTGATTTCATTCGTACTTTGTACTACTCTTCTCGTCTCCGTTCATATGTTGGCTCTCATGATATCAACTTGTATTCTGCCAAACATCGAATCAGATTGTGAACAATTAAGTGAACTCAGAGAATCACAACCAACATTGAAAATTCATTCAAGGACATTAATTGATTCGCCTCATGATACATTATCTCATTACATTGAGATCGCTTGGCTTTTCTCAACAGTTTTCGGTGTTTTCTTGTTCCTCATTGAAATCGCTTTTCTTTGTTGGGTCAAGTTCTGGGACATCGGTGTTAATCAAGGAGGAAGCGGGAAAAAAGCGGCCTTTGCCTCGACCATTTTGTTGATTCCCGTTTTCGTTGTATTCATCGCATTTGCTGTTCACTTTTATCGTAAATTAGTTAATTATAAATATGAAAGATCAGCTAAGAATCTTGAAGAATTGGTCACAATGGTAACGAATTTACAAGAACCAGTTTAATTGTTGCAATTTGTTAATCAATTGTTACTACTCTTTCAAGTGAAACAGCAATTAAACTAGTGTTCAAATTTTTGTTTTTACTTCAACAATTAAACACAATTAATCAGTAAAGTATTTGACTTGCTATTTATTTCCTTTCCTTTTACATTAATCATCAATACGACTAATTGTTGAGGACAATTTAATCAAATGATTCCAGTAATCAAATTAATAAACTTGTCTTTTCTAAACAATTTATCATTTCTCGGTTAATTGGAAATCAAAAATTAAAACAACAACTAATCAAACAATAGAAAACAATCAAATTGAATGTGAGCTTAATTAACCCAATAAAATAAATTGTTCAAGTTGTTTCTATCAACTCAGTGTTTTTAGTTATTTACTTGATGTTGAGACTAATTAATAATCATGTTTTTAATTGTCTCTTATTAATCTTTGGAAAACAACAATCAAAATGTGAGAGACATTATTGTAATTGAAATATGATTTGGTGATAGTTAACATTAAGATGATTAACTGAAAACAATTAAGTCGACAACTAGAAAGTTAAATTTGCTGAAATTAATTTTAATTACCAAGATCAATGGCCTAATGGTTTAATAATCAACCAAAAGAAAAGAAGATAATTACAATCTTAATGACTTTAAAAAGAAACTTTTATCTAATTGTTAATCACTCAAATAGATTCAATTCAAACGAGATTGAGAATTAAATTATTTCAAGAATTAAACCTTAAATTTACTATTGGCTGATAATTAGATGATGAATAAAAGAATGGAAAGAGTAATAACAATTAATTCTCAAGGTTACAAACTTTCCAAATTGTAATTCGATTAACATTTTGAAAATTAAATTTCCATTGAAAAGAAATACAAGAAGCGACATCTGGTTTTCTTTTTCTCAACTATTTTCTTTTCTTTTGCTCAAAGAAAAAGCGACATCTGTTGCTAGGAGAATGAAAGATTGTCAGCTGATTGAGAAGCAGATCTTTGGATTCCAAAGTTTGGAAGATCTTCTCTTGCAAATGGATTTGATATTTTGGGTTCTCATGAAATTGTTCAGTTTTGTTCTTGACGACAACTTGTTGTTTTCATAATCATTTCTGGTGATTTGACTCTTCCTTTGTAGCTTCAAGTTATCAGGTGAGTCAGATCTACAATTTTTATCTCGATTCATTAGAATTTTATTTTTCTTTCTTCTTTCGGCATTGCTTTGATTTAGAAGAGATGATAAATTGGCAACCACGACACGTAACTGGAGATGGATATCGAAGAAGAAATTTACTCCCTCAAGAGGTAACCGATCATCCTTTAAAACCGATCACTGTCACAATCAAGGAAAGATCTGGATCTAAATCAAGTGCCAATGGACTTAATCGGACTTCCACCAGTGAGACTAACAAAGTAAAGGCGAGAACTTCATGGGGCGGTGTTGATCCTTTATCAGCTGCTCTACAAGATTTTGACATAACCACCCATCAATCAGCTGTGCAATCAAATTCATTAGTCTCAGATGGAATAGCAGGAAAAGGAAAGGAGAAGCTTCGAGATGATGAGTTTGTGGATGATAGTTTTGAAAGTTGGTCTACGATCAGAGTGGCCATTCTCAAAGAATATACTACATCTGAGAAATTGTCGATTAAAACTTCTTTTCTAAATGGAGGCGATTCTTCAGGTGTTACTGTTACCAGTTTGAGGAATCTTCAAAGTACTTCGTTGGCAGAAAAAGTTAAACATCGGCTTCAACAATTAGATGATTTCGATGACGATTCGGTGAAAGAGATGCTGAATTTAAGTCAAGCTGAATATGTTCATCGAATAGAAGATCTAAGTGTTGCTCTACGTTCGTCCTGGGAATCTGATCAAAGAGTTAAAGCTCTGAAAATCGCTATTCAATGTGCCAAATTGTTGGTCGATGTCAGTGTATTGCAATTTTATCCAAGCAAATTTGTTCTCATCACCGACATGCTGGATAGTTTCGGTAATTTAGTTTACAAAAGGATTCATTGTAAAGCGGAAACACCTTCGGAATTGGAATCTGCTCGAGAAACTTGTCGCAATTGGTTTTACAAGATCGCATCGATTCGTGAACTAGTACCAAGATTATACGTCGAAACGGCTATTTTGAAAACTCTAAGTTTCATCGTTGATCCTAAAATCGTTTACTCAGAAAACTGTAAAGCTCTTTATCGTTTGACAGCGATGGCAAGAGGAGTCGGCGATCCTTTGGTTTCTTGTTATGCTCGCGCTTATATTTGTCGTGTAATTATGAGAATCACACCAATGGAAAAGAAAATAATCCGTCAGAACTTAACTGAATTTCTGATGATTTCTGACCAGTTATCGTCTAACTTTGTCTTAGCGACTGTTAAAGCTCAGAAAATAAGCTTTGCAACTTACCTTACACTTTTCACTCCTGCCTTAAATTGGATCTTGCAATGCATCACATTCAAAGCATCTGACAGTTTGTTGGAAGAAATTCTGGAAGAGTTTTCTGACAATTTAAAACTAAAAGGAAATCATCCCATCAATGGATTGTTATTGAATTCGATACTTGTAACTTTCAATTCGCGATTTATCATCGAAAGAGCCAAAAGGATAGTTGATTTGATAAAAGACTGTTTAACCAATAACGAAGAGAAAGGCTTCCCAGGATACTTGTTACTCAAAAATCTTGGCTGTTCATTCGTTGACGGAGGATCGACTTGGCTCACAGTTGAAAAATCTCACAAATTATTATTGATGAACGAAGTTTGGAAAAAAGTCGCAAAATTAAAATCCTCTCATCACATCGCATGTGCCGAAGTTTGGATGGATTTTGTTGTCAATTATCTTGGAGTGTTTGAAGTAAACGTACTTCTAAAAGATATCGTTAAGCACATGCAACCAGATCGAGCTTATGAAAATCATTATGATCAATTAATTTCCATTGTGAAAAAAGTCACTCAACTTCCAACACTCGACAATTTCACTTCATTTTTTGCGATGGATAGTTTTATACCCTTTTTGGATATGTTACAAAAAGAATCCATAAAAGTCGAAGCTTGTCAAATAATCGTCAAATGTTACTTACAAAAGGTCAAGAACTCAAATTCCGCCATTTTAAATGCTTCTCTGGACGACGAAGATGATTTATGGACAATATCTGATCCCGTTACAATCAATTCGTTGACCTACTTGTGCAAAACTATCCATGATTCTGTAAATGCATTAACTCTCGACGATGATCGTAGAGAAATTTCAATTTTAATAATTGATTTTCTCAGTTTGGTTTCCTTCCATAGAGATTTTCAAGGTTATCTCAATTTTCTTGTCGAGTCTCGATCCAACTATCAACATTTAGAAGCTGTGGTTGCTTTTCTCGTTAATTGTGTCAATCGTCTCATAATGGAAACTCGAGCAATCGTTAAGGGCCAGCACACGAAGAAAACAACAGCCTTTGTCCGAGCTTGTTTAGCCTATTCTTTCATTACTATTCCATCTCTTGATGATTCCAACATTCGTTTGCAATTATATCTAAATTGTGCTCAAATTGCTTTGGTTAATTGTTGTTTACCACAAACGGACGCCTTTCTAAAAGCAGCAATAGATTTGATTCCATCTGCCAACATGAAAATTGAACTGCCCGATGGTCAAGTGAGATTAACGGAACCATTGATAGTATCTTATGTTGCGAACATGCTTTCATTTTTAATTGTTGTTCCGGTGAGTCAAATCAATTTATACTCAATATCAAATCTAATGTTCTATGTTCACTTATTATTTAGGATAACCCAGAAAAAGAATCTTTATTTTTATTCCGTCAACTATTCCAAGTGATTAAAAGCATGGAATTTCATAGCAACTTGGATTCGAAACCTGCAATTTACCTCAACATGTTAGACTACTTATTCTCTATGGCTCAAGAAAATTACTCTTATCATATTGATAAAGTTGATTCTAATGATACTTTGTATGGAAATGATCCACTTTTCCTTGATCACATCAATCAATTAGGTGAACAAATTATCGAAGAGATTTTCATTTACATAAAGGATCTTGGTAAAAGACAATTGGCAAAAAGACAATCAAACGTTTCATTTGATTGTTTCTATCGTTTAATTATGAATGGTGACACTAAAAAAGTTGGAAAATTAGCTTTCAATTTTTGGCAATTAGGACTGAAAGAGAATCTACTTGACAGCAAATCTCTGACCAAAGGAATCAATTTCGTTATTAAAATGTCAAAATGTTACAATGATCCTGATCTTTTAATCTTATCTCAAAAAATGGCTTCTTTGGTACATTAACAAGCTGAGAACTCACGCCCTAATTAAATTAATCAACTACCGATGGAAATCACGAATTATTACTTTTGATATAGTCATTTTTTATTTCAAATGTTGATAAAAGAATCAATAATAATTTATATTATTCATAATGTAAACATTTGGTATATTTTGTTTTTCGAAAATAAAAAAAGACAAGTTATACATTCGTTACCCATTGTGGGTCATCATGTTAATTGGTGATCAACAAGTGGTCATCACATAATCTTTGGTCTAGCCAATCAATCTGCTTTCGTTGGCTTTTCTTTCGCTGGCATTATACTCAGTTCATCTTTATAAGCTTTTCTGATGAACCCAAACAGAACAACATGGACCATGATTACAGAAATACAAGTAGCATAGATGAGAGGAAGAATTTGTTTGGCAAGGAAAAAGAACCGATCGGTAAAGTGATCAAAGCCAAACTGTAGACAATTAAGTCGTGGAATGCACTGGAACTCATGGCGATTAAAGATGAGAAATGAGATACGATCACAGAGAAAGAATTAAATTAAAAGTGACAATTAAATGAAAACAAAGACAAACTGAAAACAACCTTCACTTTACAAAAGTATCGAATTACTAAAAAACCACCAGATGGCCCAACAGAAAATGCGCCAAATCTTTTGTTCAAATTGATTTGTTTCCAATTAAGAAAAAGCTTTAATTGCAAGATCGTAATGAGTATTAATATTAGTATTCAACGAAATCAATCAGTAGTTTTAACAGTGATTAGATGATGGTAATTGTTTTCTTCTGATTTGATTGGAATTTCAAATGCGATTGATTAAAAGTAATCAGTCAACAAGAACTTTTGATCCAACATATGGTTGATGTGATCATTCAACATTAAGTTGATTTAATCAGATTAAGTTTTTAAATCTAATCTTTTACCCAACAGTTGAATATTGAATCAAATTGTTACTATACTCGCCTAAAGACAAGGCTCTAATCGAGATCAGTTTTTTATGTCGATACTTGAGGAATATACAATTACAAAGTTGATGATAAAAATCCTCCGTTAAGTAAAAGCGCTCACAGCCGTTAGTACGAGACCAGTTAAGGTCATTCCATTGAAAGACAAGGTCGGGTCGAGGTGGTAACATTCAAATCAACTGAATGAAACCTTTTTCCGTCTCAAAAGATGAAGGATTTATTAGAATTTCAATTTTAGATTAATAAAGCTGATCACTCAATCGATCTCGCAAATCAATCAATTAATGTGAAATATCTCAACTTTATTCTGATAGAGGTTAATTTTTGGAGATAATTAACTAATTACACGAGACAATAAGTCTAATTACGAGGAAAGTTACTTGAAGCAGATCCAATAGATGGCGATTATAAATTGATCTTTAAGACAAAAAAATTCGATTCTCATCATTTGAGTTCATCGATGAATCAGTTGGTTTATCGAGTATCAAATCTATTGTTAAATGTTCATTTGCCTCGTGTTTTGTGCCTACTTATTCATTTTGGTTCGATTTCGATCAACTATCAACCTGATGAATGTCGTTTCTTTGTTGACAATTTAGAAAATTCAGTTAATCATTTGGATCGTTAATAAATTGTGAGTAATTTGCCCTCATTTCTCTTTTGCCTTCTTAAGTTCTTATTATCGGTCCTTCGCTAATACTTTTGGATTCATTCGAATATTTTAACTCGATTCCCTCGAATTCTCTTCAATTTAATCATTTTAAGGTTCGGTCTGTGGTCATTGTTCATTTCGAATACTAATATTTCGATGTTAATTTCTTTTCCTTTTTATTCATTTTAATTTAAGGACATTTTAGCAGTTGGAACAATATTATCGTTAATTGTGATTGTTCATTAGTTTAAATCAGTTTGATCTTTTTGTCTTCAGAATGAAAGATTCCAATAAAATATGAGAAATTGAGAATAACCTTTTAATCAGAATGTGAAACATCATTTTATTGTTTCAGAGTTTAATTGAACATGAACCAAGTTTTCTGACATCAATTTACTATTTGCATCAATAGTTCTTCACGATGAGTCGAAATGTCTTTGAATTTTATACCAATATTTTGTTATCAAAATTAACAATTGTTGATTATGAGGAGGGAGAAAAGATTAATTCTATGAGAATAGAAAATAATAAATGAATATAAGCTTTATAATGTGATAACTCGAAGTATGTGACTAAATGATAAAAGAAAGAGGATGTAGAAAGAGAAATGGCCATGTATCGATCGATTTTGAGAGAAGAGTAAAGAAGGGAAAGATTTTGAAGTGACAGAGAGTAGAAGAGAAAAAGAAAGAAAGAGAAAGAGAGAGAGAGAGAGAGAGAGAGAGAGAGAGAGAGAGAGAGAGAGAGAGAGAGAGAGAGAGATGATCATGATGATGGAGGGAGGAGAGAGAGAGAGAGAGAGAGACAGAGAAGCAGATGTAAACGCGCAAAGGGTCGCACTCAATTCGAGATACAAAGAAAAGAGAATAAGGTTGATAGACAAATCGAGCGAGAAGATTGTGATGAAAGAAAAAATGAGAGAGAGAGAGAAAGAAAGAAAGAGAGAGAGAGAGAGAGAAAGAGTGTCTGCGAGTGAGTCAGTGAGAGAGGCAGATGGAAGCGGGCAAAGGGTCACACAGTCTCCGAGGGACAAATCGAGCGAGAAGAAAGAAAAGAAAGAGAGATGATGAAAGTGAGAATCGAGTCTGACAACATGGCGCCCAATGAGAATGAAGGAAACCGTTGATGAAATGGCGTGTGCCGAGTTTGGGTCTTGCGTAAAAAAAGATAATATAAAAGGTTGAGTACGCGAAGCATTCGAATGATATTTATCAACAATACCCAACCTTCTTTTCTCCCTCAGTCTCTTTTCTCTCTCTCTCACTATTCATCTTCCATTTGCCTCCCTGTTCGGTTTATCTCTTGGCTTTTATCGAGTCAGTTTACGTTTGTCATTCATACATTTTGTTTCGAAATCAGCATGATCATCTCTTCGAATCTTATGGTTATCATTATTCTGTGATATCGAATATTCATCTTTTCTTCATAACTCTCATCACCAAACTGTAGAAAGTTCGACATTTTCGAGTTTTGAATTGTTAATTGACAACAAAATTATTGTTTCTCTGTGTTAAGTGTTAATCACATTCACCTTTTCTTCATAATCATTTCTTTTCAGTGTAAATCATGATGATGACGTTTACAATGATGTCGAACATGATTTGATTTGGATGATGAAGATAAGGATGAAATCTCAATGTTACTGATTCCTAACTGATCATTGCCATACTCTCCGTGTTCACTGTGTATGTCTTCATGTTTCATTTGCTTATCATAAGGCACGCGGTGAATGCCAAGAGTTGTGGTTATCTTATTACCAAAGACAAGTTCGAATCCAATTAAGTATATAAATGTTCTGAAAATGATTATCTGTTTGGAAGAAAATGGGAAAGAAGATAATTAATATCTGGTTAGCACCCGTAAGAACAATTGTTCACTTTAATGCTTCGTCTTTACCATTAAGCTTGAATTGAATTACGAATGAAGCCTTACCCATAATCATTTGGAATTTGCTGCCAATGATCAATTTTTCTTTCTATTTCTTTATCTTCTTTTCCGTTTCTCTACCTTCATTTTTCCTTCTTTTTTGCGAATCTTTTCCTTTCCTCTTTCCCATCACCTTTCTTTCTTACATTCGCATCCTCATCTTCTTATCTTCCTCCTACTTATAATTGTATTGTTCCTTTTCCGTTTCTCCTTAGTACCTTCTGGTTTCCTATTCGATTCCACCGACATTTTCTTCCTTTGCTTTTTATTTTCTTCTCTCTTTTTTGATATTCTCTCTCTCCCTCTTCTTCTCACTCTCCTTTTCTCCTTCTGCATCTTCTCTCTCCCTTTATTTTTTATGCTGACCTTCTCTCCCTTTTCCTCTCTCTTTCTCTCTTCTTTTGTTATCAATTCGATCCCTTATGTTTACCTTTGACACGATCACATTTGGTCTGTTGAGCCTCAACGCGATTCGGAAGCAAAAACAGCCGATGTTACATTAACCTTGGTACTCTCCGTGTTCACTGTTTGCCTTCATGTTGAGAATATATTTATCATAAGGCACGCGGTGAATGCCAAGAGTTTGTGGTATTCGACATCTACAGTATTAATCAAGGACCTCGATTTAATTAATCGAGTTTCGAGTTTTCTTATTTCAATAATTCGTATCAAATTTGATGTAAGTAAACAAATGGTTTCAATTCAATCATTATGGTAAAATGATTTTGTCAATTTTTCTACTCATCTTATCCTTCAACTATTAACAAATCAAATCCTCAGATTTGAATACAGAAACCATTCAATTTAACTAATAATTGTTGATTATTCCAATGATTAATCCGGTATTATGATGATTTTGATGATTAGTATTCACAGTTAATTGGATAATATTAGGTTAGAAACAGGAAACTCTTTTAATCTTGTGCCCAAAGATTAAAGAAATTCTCATAGGATTAAAATGATTAATGTTTATTGTTAATAATAGACAATTGAAATCACCAATTTTTGATTGTGATTACCCGAGATTGTCAATAGTTACTCTAAATTATATTGCAAGTGATTAGAATCTAATCTAAAAAATATAAGCATAATTGGAAATTACTGACTGTAGTTATTAAGAAGAAGATCGATCAATTAACTGTATCCCAACGACAATCAACAAGTTGTACATTAAAAGGCTCAATTATCATAAATAATTAATTGGGAAAGAAATTCCTAAATATCAATTACAATTAACTGGTTCACGTCATTTTTTAATCAGTATGTAAGCTTTATGTTCAGTTCTGATTAATATAATTTGGTTATTATAATTTAATGATAACAAAAAGTATTAAACAACTACAATTAGAAAAAGACTCGATTGTTTGATCAAAGTTTTTCGTGATTAATGAGACAATCTGAAAACGCTACAAATGATTAATTAGATGAGAATAGAATTAGAAAGAATCGCTCTAAGCTAAATTACTATTATTATTAATAGAATTTAATATAATCTAATGCATTCGAATCTGCAATTAACTAACAATCAAAATGAAAGTTTAAGAGAAAATAAAAGGCCAAACCATAAGAGGAATTAGTTTATTCAAATGAATGATCACCTCTGTCTATTTATCTCTTGTCTTCCTTGTCTTCTCTGTCTTCACCGGTTCTCTGATATTTC